TTCTCCCGGCCCATACACATATACATACAATCATGCCAGCACCTGGCAGTTGACCCTTTGCTTCGTGTCTCATCCGATTCCCCCCTCCCCTACCCCCCTCCCCTACCCCCCTCCCCTACCCCCCTCCCTACCCCCCTCCCCACCCCCCTCCCTACCCCCCTCCCTACCCTCTTCCCCTACCCCCCTCCCTACCCTCCTCCCCTACCCCCCTCCCTACCCCCCTCCCTACCCTCCTCCCCACCCCCCTCCCTAACCCCCTCCCTAACCCCCTCCCTAACCCCCTCCCTACCCTCTTCCCCTACCCCCCTCCCTACCCTCTTCCCCTACCCCCCTCCCTACCCCCCTCCCTACCCTCCTCCCTACCCTCTTCCCCTACCCCCCTCCCTACCCTCTTCCCCTACCCCCCTCCCTACCCTCCTCCCTACCCTCCTCCTCTACCCCCCTCCCTACCTCATGGAACTCCCCGTCCTGCTGGTGTTGTCCCAGGTACTCCCGGGCCTTCACCTGCGCCTCCTCGAACCGCTCCCCGTCCAGCAGCGCCCGCACCAGCAGCAACTTGGCCTCACGGTGGCCCGGGTCCAGCACCAACACATTGCCGCAATCTGACACGGCGTCCTGGAACCGCCGCAATGCGGCCCGGGACTTGCACAGTCCGAGCCACAGACCATCATTGCCGCGACTGTGTAGCGGATCCACCTGCGTGCGTGCGTATGTATGTATATCTGTTCGGGGTGTCGGTGTTTGTGCATGTGTGTGCACCACTATGCGGGCATGGCACGGCTTTCCTTCTCTCCCTGACCTTCTCCTCCCTCTCCCTCCCCCTCCTCCTTTCCCACCAATTCCTCACATGCAACGCATCAATAAAGTTCCGCTCCGCCTCTTCCCAGTCCTGCGCCTCCAGGGCTCGCTGGGCGCGGCTGCGCTTGCGATCGTAGTCCTTCACCTGCCGGGGGGTGGGGGGAGAGTGGGGGAAAGAGAGGGGGAGGAGGGGGAGGGAGGAAGGGAAAAGTGGTGGTAAGAGGGGAAAGAGGAACCACGAACGAGTGAAGCTGCTGCTAAGGAAAGAGAGTACAAGAAGCAGAACTGACCAGTAGGCGGTTTTGCAGGAGGGTAAGGGGGGGAGGAGGGTCATCAGGCGCACAAAAAGTAACTTAGAGGGTGGTGGAGGTCATCCGGAGCCGCGAACCCCCTTACCCCCCTCACCTTGTTGAACTCCTTCCGGGCGGTGAGATGGTCGGGATCGAACTTGAGCGCCTCTCCGAAATGGCGCTTGGCCATATCGTGGTCAGCCTGGGGGGGTAGGGCCGTGGGCCCCCGGTATTGTTACATCCTGTCTGCCGCCTGACCGGAAAAGGAGATCTCGCGCTGCTGATGACACCGATCACCAACAACATCATCATCACCATCATCATCATCATCATCAGTCAGAGGGTGTGCGTAAAAGCCCAGGATACTCCAGGTTTTCGTCGCGCAGCGGCAACCTCAGCGCCAGGAAAACGGCGGGGTGCGGTCCACCGCCCCTAACACCCACACCTCCACTCCCCACTCTCCCCACCTTCACCCCACCCCACCCCGGCCAGGGCCCCGTACCAGGTAGAAGTACGCGCGGCCCCTCAGCACCAGAGCATCCAGCTGCCGGTCATCCGCCTTCAAGATACGGCCCGTCACCGCCACAACCTGCAGGGCGGAGGGGGAGGGAAAGACGAAGGGGGAGGGAGGGGGGAGGGAGACCAGATGTGAAATGCGAAGATTGGGGGGAAGAGGTCTAGGCGGCGGAAAGCTCCACGGCTCCGGAGACACAACCCAATGGCTCGGGACACCGCAATGAGGGAAGTGAAGGGGGGGGAGAGAGAACGGGGGGAAAGGAAAGAAGGAATGCACATCAGCTGATGAAAACAATTTCATTTGACGCCAATTGGCAACAGATCTCGATAACGCGGGCGGCCCAGAAAAGCCAAACCCAACTCCCCCTTCCCCGGGACGCATAAGCGGGGTGCGGCCGGGGGACCGCATAGGGCCGTCCTCCCCGCCGGCTGGGGAAAACCCAAGTCGGAAAAGCCCTTCGTCACCAGGCTCATCCTGCCGTATACCTGCTCGTACTCGGCTGCAGCGAAAAGCATCTCCGCCTCCAGTACTTGCGCCTGTGGGTGTACGGCGGCAGCGACAACAAGGCAACACAGGCACAGTCGCGGGTTGAGTTGCCGGGAACACAAAAGCGAGTCATTCGTCAGTCAGTTGGCTAACCAGTCAGGCAGGCAGGCAGGCAGGCAGTCAGAACCCCCCTTCCACAGTACCCCCGTCCTCCTCATCCCGAGGACGCCGCCTCCACAAGAACGCCTACTGGTCAGTTCTGCTCCTGGTACACTCTTTACTTGGCAGCAGCTTCACTCGTTCGTGGTTCGTCTCTCCCCCCTCCTCCTCTTCCAACGCCCCGTTCCCCTCCCTTGCCTTGACACAATCCGGAGCATCTTCGTACAAGGACTCCAGGGTGGGTCGGATCCGCTCCAGGTCCCGACTGGCGGCCGTCGCGGCGTGTGTATCCCGCCCCGCCCCCGCCGCCGCCTCCGCCTTGGCCGCCTCCGCCGCCCGCTGCACCGCCTCTAACTTGCCCTTCGCCGCCTGAGTGCGTTGGAGCTAATGTGGGGAAGGTCCCGGGGCGGGGGGAAGGGCCCGGAAGTGTGCGAAGAGGAGATACGTATGCGTGAACTGAGCGGGATGACAGTTCAACGAAAAATGAAGTTTGCCGGAATTCAGGAATATGTTCTTCTTCCAACAAGCCCCCCTGATGGCTGATTGGCTCGGGAGGGACAGATAGCCGTGTGGGTGTGGGTGGGTGGGTGGGTGTGGGGAAGAACAACCTCTGTCAAAAGGAGTCAAAAGAGGCAGGCGGGAGGTGATGTTAATGAGAGGGCCGTGGTAGGCAGGAAGAGTAGATCGCGACAGCGGCAGAAGAAGAAGGCCGCGGCCGAAACCCTTGAACCCACCGCCACCCAGTAGACCCAACCAAGCCATCCCACCAGGGAAACCACAGCTTCCCCCCCTCTATTACCGTCCCTCACCTCCTGCTCCGCCGCCTTATGGCCCGGCTTCAACTCCATGACGCTGCCGAGATCCCGTTCGGCGGCGGCGAAGCTGCGGGCGGTGAGAGGTGGGAGGGAGCAGATCCCGACCGGATAAAGAGGTGAGGTGGGGTGAGGAAGGCATCCATGGGTGGAAGGGAGGTGAGAGAAGAGGAGAGGAGGGGAGGGAAGGTGAGGTAACTAACCGGCAAGGGGGGTGACACCTGCACTGGATTGACCCCGGGGTGTCCGTACGGAGATATACACCCACACGTCCATGACGTCTGCCACCGGCAACAGACACGCCATGCACACGTGGCCACATGCGGACATCACGGTGGAGGAGCTGCCAGCTTGCATCCCCCAGACACATACCTTCACCACCCCTTCCAAAACACACAAGCATGCAATGCATGCACGAAGCTCTCCCTCCTCGGTCCGATCCAACCCAAATCCGATTCCCCTCTAAACCCAGGCCTAAACTCCCACCCACATGCCCGTGGGCCCCCTCCCCGCCCGGCTCCCTCCGTGGGCCCCCTCTTACTTGCACATCTGCCGCTGCAGCTTGCCTCGATTGAGGTAGCCCTGTAGGAGGCAGCATGCCGAGATAGGCGGCCAGAGGCCGTGGGGACGGGCATCAGGGCGTCAGGAAGCGATGCCGCGGCTCCGAAATAGCGGGAAGGGAAAAAGGGGAGAGGGCAGTGGGCGGTGGGCGGTTTGGTTACAGGACCTGGACTGAAGCTGTGGATGCTCGCCTCGGTAAGGTTTGCGAAAGGGGGGGGGAGGGTGGTGTAGGGGTGTAAGATGCACAGAGGAGAGCAGTGCAGCGCTCCGCGCTGACCCAGATGGGATCCAGATGAGATCCAGATGCGACTGGGCTCTGTCCGAGAGAGGGGCTGATCAGAGGGCCGTCGGAGGCCCTGACCCACATCGGGGTCGGGGGTTATTTCTGGTATCTTCGCAGGGCAAATTGGGAAGGCATGCCTGCTGAGGCAGCTTGCTGGGTTCCAACCGGCCACCAGGCTGCCTTTTCCCACGTGGATCGGTCAGGTAGGTTTGTCTCCGGGAAAGCATCTGGGGCGCACCTGGATGAATTTGCTATCCAGGTCGACCGCTTTGTTGAGATCGCGGAGCGCCTGGGAGAGGCTCCGCAAGCTTATGTATGCCGCGGCTCGCTTGGTGTACAACAGCGGCACAGTGGACTGCAGGTCTGGAGCGCGTGCAGCAGGGATTTTTGGTGAGGTGTTCAGGTTGCGCTGGTAGAAGGGCGTCGTTCAAGCAAGGGGGAAAGGCAGGGCGTCAGGGCTCACCAATCGCTGATGAGTAATGGCGAATCGCCGCGTTGAACTCCGAGTTCGAGAACGCTGTGTCGCCGAGCTTGAGGAATTGAGCGACGTCAGCGAGACATGACCAAGGCTCTGCATGTATTCAAGCTGGTTTCAGTTCTAGTTGGAAACAGTGATGCACCAGCCGAACAGTTGCACTAATAGCTTACTTTGGGCAAGCCCCACCAAGATGAGAGCTAGCGCTAAGAATTTGCGTTGGGAAAGCATGGTTATTGCGCAGCGCCCATACACAAGCAAGGAAACTTAGCGTGACGGAAAGCGCATGAAAATTTCCCGAAGGCAGTAAATGAAAAAGGTCGGGAGACCCTGAATGAGGGCTCCTATAAATTTGTAACGATTTGGGGAGAAGGGGTGACGTCGCCGCTGGTACGGAAGCGACAACAACCTTAACGGGTTTTGCCGAACCTATGGAAACTTGGTCAACAACATGGCGAAATGATTAGAGTGTGTTTCCATAGTATGATCATGGAAACCTTTTTACTTCTGATCACCTTGACCGCAGCTGTTGCGCCTTCTAAAGGCTTTACAGAGCAGTAGCTTTAAAATTGGCCTTGCCTATGGTGATCCTCGCGTGACATTTTTGCTGCAAAATAGCATGGCAGCTCGTCAGCTTTTGAACACCTTCTGCCTGCTTGCAGCATACTGTGCATGTGCATCACTTGGCACCAGTCTCTCCGTCCACTCTAGGCTGGGCGATGGCCACCAGCATCAACACCGATCACTCCTAGCTTCCGCACAGGAGGTTTCGTCGCCTGACGTCCCGCTCAATGGTGCCTGCGCGGCGGACATTGTGCAGCACTGCAGGCACCTGCTGACCGAGGTAAGCACGACCCCAGGGCGATGTCTCTAAGGCTCCATCCCCGCGCATCTGCGTCCCTCCCTCACGGTCCTTGCCTTGGCCTCCTTTTGACCATCAGGAAGCCAAAGCTTCGGCCAGCTCAACGACGGACGCTGTACAAACAGCAGCAACAGCGGTCGCGATCGATGCCGCCGCATCCAATCCGGCTGTAAAGTCTCAGGATTCTGCTGGTACAGTGCAGGACGCTGCCGGCAATGCTGATGCCGCTGCCGCCGCGACGCAGCAGGCAACAGCAACCGCAGCGGCAGATGCCGGCGGCGCCACGGACGGTTCCACAGCCTCTAATGCAAGCAGGGTTGTGGCTACAGATGACGTATCTGGGTCAGTTACCGCCGGGGGGGGTGCCATGGAAGCGGATGCGGCCGGCGGCAGCTCCACCGCTGTGGCGGCTTCCACAGCTGCGGCCACCCAGCAGCAGCAGCAGCAACAGCAAGGGACCCAGCATAGGCGGCGCCACCTCATGGCGGCAACCCAGGCCGGGGGCCCCACGGTGTCGGGATCATCCGCCGTTGCTGCGGAGCTCAACGCCGCAATGGCACACAGCGATGACCTGGGTCGCGCGATGCAGCTGCTGGGGCTGCGAAGCGAGCTGGACACGCGTGCCATGGCGTCGGCCTCGGCGCCCCTCGCCCGGTACGTGGGTGGTGGCGGGGGTGGGCCCGGGCAGGCATAAGCCAGTGGGCGAGTCAGGGGGGAGAAATTAGCATACAGGACTCCAGAACATGGGCGCTGTGGTTGACTACGTGGGGCTCCTGGGGTACTGTCACTCCGTCCGCTCTCCGCTGTCCTTCCAAACCAAAGGGTAGGGTAGGGTAGGGTAGCAGCGAACGGAGAACTCCTTACATGTGGAAAAGATCTCTCAGCACATCTGAGACCCGACCCCCTTTCCCGCGGTGTAGCGGCCCGGAGGGGTTACCTAGGGGGGCCACACCCCACCCGTGCCCTCATGGGCTCACGGTCGGGGGTCCAGGACCCGTCATGGGTTCATGGGCGCGTTCCGGGTCTGTGTGTGTGTGTGTGCGAGAGAGGCCCTCCTCCCCCCGGTGTGTGAGCCGCTTGACACGGAGATGCATCTGTGGTTTCATGATTTCTGAGCCGCGGGCAGAGGAACTGGCGAAAATGGCACGTGCGCGTGTCTGTCTCTGTGTGTCTGTGTGTGTCTGTCTGTCTGTGTGTGTGTGTCTGTCTGTCTGTGTGTGTCTGTCTGTCTGTGTGTGTGTCCGTTCAGGGCTCCGTAAGGCCGCCCCCAGGCCGCATCACTTGCTGCCCGGGGACACCCTTCAGCACGCGGTACGCCCGAGGGCTGACCCGGCCGGGCCGGACCTGAGCTGAGCTGACCTGACCTGAGCTGAGCTGAGCTCACCCGCCCCCACAGGTGTCTGCTCTCGGCCATGCATGCCAGCCAGATGTCCATCAGCCCCAACATACCCATCGTGTCGGACGGGTGTAAGGCGGAGGTGCGTTGCGGCGCAGGGCCCCCAAAGCGGGGGTCGGGTGGATGGTTGGGTAGGCGGGTGGGATGTTGCGACTCCTAAACGGAGCCACCAGCGGGTGAGGGGTCCTATCTCCCGTATGGGAGATTGAAAAGGCTGAGACGACGCCGGATGCTGTGGGACCCGCCTACCCGGGAAGGGTGGTGGGATGGGGTAAGAGTCGGAAAGGACCGCCTGGCTGGCTGGCGGCTGGTAGAGTAGAGTTGAGAGCATGGCCTCTTAAGTAAGGAAGGGCGTGCCGGGGTTGGCCGGGCTTTGCTGGAGGGGGGCACGCATAGGCCTGGGGCAGGCGGAGGTGTGTCAGGGGTGCGGGTGTGAGCACACAGGAGCAGGTGTGTGTGGGGGGGGGGTGAGGTAAGAGGACTTGCGGGGCAATGGGGGGTCGGCGGCCAATTAAAAGTGGTTGATTTGGGAGGGGTAGATCCAGGGCGAGCTCTTCTCTATGAGCTGAGGCCCACATGGATAAGATTGGAGGGAGGTGCACGGGAGAACGCGGTATCATTCCCCCCCCCTGCTGCTGATCATCAGTGCATCATCATCACCTCCTCCCTCCACCGGTCGGACCTGCTCCATGTCACGACGGCCTGGGTTCACTTCCCCCTTCCGTTACACCCCTCCTCTCTTTTTCTCTTTTCCTCTGTCGCTTTTCCCTACGTATATGTATACGTATGTGTATACCTACGTGTGTGTGTATCGTGTCTTCCTTTTCCGGGTGCCCTTCCCGGACCTCCTGCTGGGGTGGTGCTGTGGTCGCAGGTCCGGTCCCTGCTGGTCCAGCGAGCCAGCGAGCTGCGGTACGACCCGCCTCTGCTGGCGGCGTGTGCACACGACATCGTGGCGCGATGCGGGGACGTGGGGCCGGAGTCCGTGGCGGTGGTCAGGTGCGGGTGCGGGTGCGGGTGGGGGTGCGGGTGTGCGCCGTAGGGAGGAAGTGCTGGAAGGAGATGTCACATGCTGCATGTGTGTGAGAGAGCGGGGTGGAGTACTGGGAGCCGGAACGGAGCAGCTCGGGGGGGGGGAACACGACCTGACCTGTAAAGCGAAGCCGAGCTCCCCAACATGGGAAACGACATAGAAATCTGAGCAGCTGAGCTGCATCATGTGTATCATATCGCTCGTCATATGTATGTATGTATGTATGTATGTATGCTATGTATGTATGTATGTATGTATCCGCGTCCGTGTGCGCGTGTACTGAGCCACACATGCCCGTGCTCGCAGGTGTCTCAAGGCCTCCAAGCCGCAGCTGCTGCCGCTGTGCCGCGCCGCGGTCACTGCCCGCCAGGCCGCAGCTGCGGAGGACCTCAGCCTGGACCCGGAGCTGCAGCGGAGTTGCGGGGCGGAGCGGGAGAAGCTGTGTCTGGAGGCGGGGTGGGTCAGGGGGGCAATAGAGCGCACACGATAACACACGCATGCATACATACATACATACATACATACATACATACATACATACATACATACATATATACATACATACATACATACATACATACATACATACATACATACATACATACATATATACATACATATATACATACATACGCTACTACTCAGGTTGGGCACTACCCAGGAAAGGCACGGACCATTGCCCCCGGGAGATCCCGGGATCGAGACCTGTCAGGATTGAAAATCCTTCCGATGGTGGAAGGTAAAGTGCCCTTAGTCGATGGACTCTGGTGACCTGGGATAAAGTTGACTCGCGAGCCGACCAGGAATGGAGTTGGGCCGCCATCGATCCGGCAGATTCCGTTGGATGCTGGTGGTGGGTGCGGAACCTGAGCGATCCACTGAGAAGTTGGCTAGGGTGACTGGATGAGGGTGCCCCGAAATACCGGGGAAGGCAGGATTTCGCCGGGTAGCGGCCACAGGGTGAAGACATGGCCCCCCCTGTCCCACACATCACAAGTAATTGGGATTATGACCAGGCAAGCTAAGACGGCGGCGAAGCAAAGGGGATGGAAGGCTCATGGACGGCGCGAAGAGCTCCGGACATCAGGAATTATGCTACGTGTCGTACATCTCGTGTACTACACGGCTGGCCGAGCACGACCCCGCACTCCCAAAACTCTGGCCGTGTACACGGTCCCTTCTTCTTCCTCTCCGCCCCCACGTCCTCCCCTCCCCCCCACTTCCTTTCACCAGGCCCCGTGGGTCCCACCACACCACGTCCTACTCCGGTCCATGGCCCCCTCCCCCGGCTTTTACGGACACCCCCGCACTTGTGCGGAACTTGTAACTTAACACTCAGCCCTTGCCTCGGTCCTCAACCTTTCGCTTGAATCCCTCTGCCCTCGCCCCTGCCCATATGCCCTTATGCCCGGCCATCCACTCCACTCCCACCCACGACTCCGGTCCCACCCACCCTCCCCAATCCCCCACCCAATCCCCCAACCACCCAACCACCCATACACACACACATGCTCGCTCTAACCCCCCGACGCCTCTACCCATCCTCCCTGCAGCTGGGGCGAGGGCGCGGCCCAGGCTTGCCTCCTGGGTCACCTCCGCGGCTCCCTCCCCCAGGTGTTCTCACGCGTCATATTCCCCGTTGAGGGCGGCGGCGGTAGCGGGGCCAGTGCGACTGCTGCCGCCACCCCGTCGTCCTCCTCTTCCTCGTCCGCGGTGGAGCTGTCCGCCAACTGCTCGGCGGCACTTGTTCGGCGGCTAATGGAGGAGGGGGAGGATGTACGGTTCAACTACCGGTACGCCGTGTTCCTCGTGTTATGCAGAGTCGTGTATTGAGGGGGGAGTGAGGTGGGGGGGGGGGTTGGGAAAGACGAACCACACGCGATTGAAGCTGCTGCCAGGGCAAGATAGTAGCAAACGTAAAAACTGACCGAAAGGCGTCCGTGGCGACTGTGACGACTGTAACCTCGGGATGACGAAGTGACGTAGATGTTGGAAATCCTACCCACCTAAGCCGCCAGAAATTAGCTGAATAGTATAGCCAATCCGTAAAGTAGTAGGTGTAAAAAATTGGGGGGGGGGGAGAGTTTGGGGTGAGGCCAGGTCACGTAACCTCACGACCTGCCACGTACACCTAGCCAACTAGCCAGCCAGCCATCCGGCCCTCACTGCCCTGCCCTGTCGCAGGTTATCCTCAGCCTGTGCGGG